TAGCCAGTGGTTTCCACTGCAGCTACAAAGGAACAGAGTCCAAGAAAATGACCGCTGCACGAACGATGAAGAGTTCTGTTAGAGCTTCACCTACGCAATATGCCCCATAATCATATGGCATGTATGGTAATATTTGTCATTTGGTCTCTTTTTGGGACATGCTAGCACTTGTACACAAATATAATTACAATAAATACAGTAGATCAATAAACAAATAAATAAATAGATAAGCACAATATATATATATATGTACCATACATAGAGCATATGCGCATTTTGACTATCCCATACTTTGCGCGCTGTGTCTCACAGGAGTGTCTGAGTCACCCATTCCCAGTTTTCAGAGACGTTCGATAACAGAAGACTGCCAGGCTGATTCATTACAAAGTCAAGCAAAAAAACACACTAAAACTATAGACTACCAACAATCATTAATTAACTTTGTATGTTTTATCATCTTAATCCAGTCAAGGACTACTGGACTTGGGTTCACTTTGTTCCAGCCGCTGATTTCGGAGAACTACTCACCAAACCCCCTGGACAAGATGCACCATGGTTTTCCTCAGCGTGAAACTATTATAGTCCTAGAGCATGGGCCTCCAAATGACTAGAGCCAATACTAAAACATACTACAGATCTACAGTAAAACAACATGTCATCCCAGTAAATTATGACTAGTGTGCGTTTATGCACACACACAAACACCCATATCTACATCATATTATACAAACTGTGACATACAGTATATGTATTCTGTATGGATTCTGCGTGTGGATTGTGCGTCAAACTGCAACAGTCAAAGGTTTCCGACCCTGCGACGGGTTTTTTCTTTGCACGACTCCACGCTTCCTTTGGTGGACCTGTGGGCATCTGATTGCAAACAATCCAAGTGACAACATGATTGACTCTATCCTGGATTCCCATTTCTTCATCAACCATATGTATATTATATACATATGTATATACAGAAAAATAAATATGCATATATATATATATATATATTATATATATTTATTTATATAAATATATATATATATATATTATATATATGTGTGTGTGTGTGTGGCCCATGGCCCATATTCATGATAAACCGCATTTTTGTTGGTCAACCCCTCAATTGTCAGGTTAAATGATCGGTACCCTGCTGCCTTGCACCGGCCCGCAGCTACGGCGATGCCCCCGCTTATACCACGGGTGTCGTGGGTCGTGAAATCCGGAAATGGTGCTTAGGACGACAAAGAAGATTGGGGAATGGGTGAGTAACTGCAGATTTTCATGGATTTTGATGGACTAACTGCAGATGTTCATAGATTTTGATGGATTTTGGCGGTTTTTTGCTTCTCAGGCCTCCTTTTCAGGCTGGGAAATCAGAGAAATTAAGGAGATACTGAGATATACTGAGATACTAACAAAAACGTATCATCATGTATCATCCAATTTAGTGTCAAGGTTTTTCTAACCCATCCCCCAAATCTCATGACGGTCGTGGAGAAGGAGCTGTGTATCCTTCCGCGGACGCTGCCAGGTGATATGGAGTCTCTACGTGATGATTTGACCACCAAAAATTTAACACAACTATGGAACATGGCCTTATTGTTGGATGATTTACCTAATTTATTGGATGATTTTGTGAATTTATTGGATGATTTACCATGATTTACCTAATTTATTGGTGTAGCTACCGCATCTACTATTGGATGATTTACCTCATTTAATTACCTATCAAAGAGTGGTGATTGTCCAAAATCAACCAGCTATGTCAGATGCCAGCTAGGGTAACCAACATTTTTTAGGGATTTAAGCAACACATATGGTGGGATTTTATGGGATTCCACCAACAGTTGGAACTTCTGGAGGGGTTACACCTCCGCTGCAAAGTGAAGCATACTAACGATGTTTGATATGGTTCTATATGGTCTAATAGGGATAATAATTGGAAATAAGATGGGATAATAAAGGTATATTATGGTATATTTGATATACACATCAAGATGTTGGGGCCAAGTGCTTGTTCTTCCGCCCATGTTTACAAAATTTTACATCCCATCCCTGGTTTTGCCTAGAAAAACCACAGGTAGATGCCCCGGCTTTTCTTCGCAAAATTGGTTGGTTGGTCTCCACCAGTGAATCTGGTTGGTGGTTAATAGTGGTTAATAGCGGTTAATGATGGCTAATAATGCTTAATTATTGGTTAATTATGACTGGTTGGTGGTTTTAAGTTTTAACCATCTTGAGAAATGATGGAGTTAAAGTCAATGGGAAGGATGACATCCCATAAATTATGTTTCAACTGTTGGGTTGACAAAAAAAATGTTGCTGGTATACCTACCCCTCTGAAAAATATGAGTTCGTCAGTTGGGATGATGAAATTCCCAATGTATGGAAAATATAAAAAAATGTTCCAAACCACCAACCAGGAATTCACTGTCGGGTTTATGGTAGATGTATCCACCTAACTTGCTGAATCGGTGACTCGAAACCAACTTATGACGGCCACCAGCTTGTACCGGCATGTTTCACGGTATCCCAGTGGTAAGCCAGGACTTACCCTCTGGTTATGACTAACATAACTATTGAAAATGACAATTTTTCATGGGAAAATCAACTACTTCTATGGCCATGTTCAATAGCTATTTTGACATAACCAGGCCGGGCATATTGCCATTACTAAATCGCTCCGATCACCTCTGCAACATCCCATGCACAGCAAAGAATCCAGGATCGAAAAGGACAGTTCCGCAGCAAGTATTTGAAAAAACTCGCTGAACTCAAGGTGGATCACGTAATTTTCCAGGCCCACATCAGTCCCTTATCTGAGCGCAATCTGAGAAGTGATTTTCGTGATCAAGCCATCTAGCCTAATCTAGCGCAATCTAAACCTCAATTCCAACACCAAAAATCCCAAAAATGAATCTGGTTGGTGGTATGCCTACCCATCTTAAAAATATGAAAGTCAGTTGGGATGATGACATTCTCAACTGAATGGAAAAATAAAATTCACGTTCCAAACCACCAACCAGGAAACATGTCAGTCGCGAACTTCGCCAGTTTTGGCCAAGTGGATCAAAACTAGTGGACTTTATCTTGGCGGATTCAGAATCCTTTCAATGTCGATGGCCGTAAAGGGACTGACATGCACCAATGACCCAGCTTCGACAGCGCCTTTCAAACTATCCCGCGCAATTCGCGGCTCCACAGAGAGATTAGGGCATCACAACCCTTGGGGCGGTATGAAATCACACAAGCTCTTGGGGTCCCAAATGATCTCTTCATCATTGGATTGGTTTAAGGGAAAATCTACAGGAAACCATGGTTTTTACCATCAAATATAGGGCTTTCCTGTAAATTTTCCCATCATCCAATTCTATGACTTCACTAAATTCATACAAGATCACGATTTTTCTCAGGTGATTCTTTTGCTGAATCCATGTGTTACGAGACCTGCCTCCGTTGGAAAACTTCTTGGTTAAGCCACTTCGGGATCATCCAGTGCCGTTCGTCATCCATTTTGGCTGGTGGTAATCATAGTTCTATGACCATTAAAGCTACCGATTGAAATCACCAGCCACAAAAGGGACATGTTTTTTGAATTACCAACTGACAACCTCAGCAGACCTGACAGGTGAAGTAAGTTCCTTCAAATCAATCTGCAGTGGCATCGACAAATGTGACATCATGCAAACCACAAAAGTTGTTGGGTCTGACAACCAAAACCATCTTTGAACTCATCTCTGATGCTCCAGCTATAGTCTATACTGACTTAACAGCATTGCCTTTGAAGAATGTCCAAATGCAGGTCATTGATGCGATACATGGAGCATCTGAGAGTCAATTGATATGTTTACTATGAAAAATAGTTTGGCTTGAGCTTAAGGAAAATCTACAAGATACCGATACCATATTTCTTGCATGTTTTCCCTTCATTCAATTCTGCGTGGGGCTGCTGCTGGTGCTATTATTGGTGAATATAACCATGGTTACCATGGTTCTAACTTCTAACCCAACAAATTTCAATGTGATCCAAAGGGTGAAAGCTATGGAAGAGACTATCTCTGATAATCGAAGACAGACAGGCAGACAGACAGACAAACAGATAGATAGGTAGCTAGGTAGAGATATATATATATAATATATATACATATGCAGTAGATACCTGGTTGGTGGTTTCAACCCCTCTTAAACATATGAAAGTCAATGGGAAGGATGACATCCCATATATGAAATGGAAAATAATCCAGTCATGTTTGAAACCACCAACCAGATATGTTCATTTATTTTCCCATTAAAATACCATAGACTATTTGGATCATCATTGATTTTCAGTGTATATCCCCAACCAGATACAGTAGATGGCTTGGCAGATAGACATAGTGTGCACCATGAGGATTTTCCCTCAAAGGTCACACCCCTTTTGAATGCAGGTGACCTCAAACTCCTTCCTAGTGGTGGACGGTGACCTACTACAGGGCTTTGGTAAAGATGTGACCAAAGAAAGATCAACATATAAGTAAAACATTACAGCAATAGAAACGCAAAAACATAGATACAAAAATATATTTATATATGAATGCATACATGTACACATAATATGTGGCTATGGTGGCTATGAATCAATACCTATAGATACCATTAAAAAAGGGGGATGAACATCCATAAATCCCAGCTATTTTGGTGTGAACAGCAGGGGTACAGGGTTTTGACCCATATCCATATACCCTCTGGTAAACTAACATAGCTATGGAAAATCACCATGTTTCATGGGAAAATCCACTATAAATGGCCATGTTCAACAACTATATTACATTACCAGAGGGTAATGGCATAAATATGGTAGTATTGGTTAATAATCCATGTTAATATTGGTTAATATTAACCCATGTCTCAGGGAAAATATGTACAGGAAAAAATCCAGGAAAGTAAAAGTGGCTTGACATGGCTTTATTTTGGTGTTATTTTTGGAATTGTCTGCTCACAGGAAAGCATGTCAGTAATATATGTTTGTGAGTTTCTGTGGAATCCACATATCGCCCCTTCTTGGCTCGTCTGGGCTTGTCCGACAACTCAGACGGTGGCGGATTGGGGGGCGCTGTCCGCATTGGCCGTGTCCTCAGCGATGAAACGCGGAATTTCACCTTTTTGGTGCTGTACTAAACGCGTTAAAAACATGTTACCATCTGGTTATGACTAACATAGCAATGGTATAGATGACCCATAGAAATAGATGGTTTACCTATTAAAAATGGTGGTTTTCCATGGCTATGTTAAATAACCAGATGTTACAGTAAATGAGAACTAATGGCTACTAAGCGCTCACTAATGACACCTGGTTTTTTCAAGTGACAATTCATACTGGTGAATAGTAGTTGTAGTTAATAGTGGTTTCATAACGGTTTAATGTTTAATGTGTGTTGTTATAGTGATCAAAAACATAATTTTGCACTTGGGGGCTCATCCATCGAATCGAATTAGGTTATATCAATAAATTGTGGGAAAGACCATATTAGGATAGAAATGAGCTGCACTTGCGAAACTTGTGGTGAAAACACCAGCCAGCAAGTGGGACAGAATATATAGGAGGAACAAAAACACAAATTTAGTGCCAAAAAAATGTTTATCCTCTGGTAATTTCACATATAACTATTGAAAATAGCCAATTAAATAGCCCATTGATAGTTGATTTACCTACAAAAAATGGTGATTTTCCAGTTCGCAAACTTAGTTTACCAGAGTGTATCTCCACTTGCTCGGCTGCCCCAAGGCGTGCCAAAGTTCACCAGCCAAACAACAGGGAACGTAACAACTACTATAAAAAATGAACTTCAACAATTTCAACAATACAAGATTATAATTCCAGTTGTAGTTAATTTTACGATATTTTTTACTTCAATACAAGATTATAGTCAATACAAGACACGATTTTACTAGATTGACTGGTGCTTGGATTGGCGATTGTAATACTGGGGTTCCAAAACCACTGGAACCCAAAGAACCAGTTGACAACGCAGTCTTTGGAAACCAACTTCTAACTGGTACTCACTATCACTTTGCAATGCAGAACGGTCAAGTGTAGTAGGTACCCTCTGGTAATTTAACATAGCTGTTGAAAATTGCCATTTATAGTGGATTTACCTTTTGAAAATGGTGATTTTCCATAGTTATGTTAGTTTACCAGAGGGTAACTCATCTACTTTCATAAAGGTCACTGGAACCATGGCATCGTGAAAAAAAAATGAGAGGAACGTAGCACTTTTGGGGATACCCTCTGGTAAATTAACATAGCTATGGAAAATCACTATGTTTAATATTTAAATGAACTATTTCAATGGGCAAGTTTCCATAGCTATGTTAGTTTACCAAAGGGTAGAATACATATATGTTAGTATATACTATGGTAAATTAAATATGGTAATACACACATATATATATATATGGTAAGATATCTTAAGGGATTAACTAACATATACTAACATAGTCCTTAATATATCTTATTATCCCCCTTTTGTTGGTTCATCTCCCGATGTCCCCTCCACATCCCTCCACGTTGGACGCACCGAGGGACCAAGTTGTCCTTGCTGAGACGCCAGGGGACGTACATCAACATGGCAATCAGAAGGCTGAGGAGGGCCACCCACACATAGCCTCGAAAGGGATCATCTAGGCAAATCTCCCGTATATATATATATAGAGGTAACTATATATATATATATCATTATAGATCTGTGCGTGTTCATGTCTTTAACACATTTCTCTCTCTCTCTCTCTGTGTGTCTCTCCCTGTCGTTGTATCTTTATAGTTCTTTGTAGTCAATGGGAGATCTCCAGGATCCTAAAATGGAGGTACAAGTACTGTACCATCTTTTTGGCCATATTTTGCCGGGATATTCCCATTGATGTAGGTATGTAATACGTATTGACGTAGTGACTATAAAGGTGGTTGTCCGCAAGCAAGGGGATCGCAGCAGCGGTGACACAAAGGATCTGTTGGGTTCATATTATTAGCCAACCTGGTTATGACCTATCTGTTACATAGCCATGGAAAATCCCAACCATAAATGGAGGCTTTAATGGGAAAATCATCTATTTCGATTAGGGCCATTTTAACACTTCGCCATGGTTTTTCGATGGCCCATAGAAATAGATGGTTTACCGTTCTTAATAGCATGGTGGATCTTTCCATGGCAAACTGTGAACGTCATAACCAGATCGTATGTCCAATGGATTCCAATGGATTCAATGGATTTCTTCATCGCCAACTGACTTGGGTTCGATCAAAAAAGAACATGCCACGAAATGTCATGTTCATACTAAGCATGACCATCAAGATCACGAAAATTGCTCATTCTCACCTCTTATCACCATCATGTTCATCATTTTCCTGGAAAAAAAACATATCATTTTCCCCTATCTTTTCCAAACATTTCGCCGAAAGAAATCGATGATTGGCGCCACGGGGCTGTTGGCGATCATGCGCAGGCCGTTCATGGCGCGCAAACACATGGAGTCCGTGAGACCCATCCAGAAGGCCGCCATGAAGGTGCAATCCTCAACGACTGCATCGCTGTTTTTTGCCATGGAAATGGTGAAGATATTAATTGATGTGTGTGTACAGATATGTGATGCGTATGTCTCATGGATATGCTTGCATATATATATATATATATGTATATATATATATATGTGTGTGTTATATATGTGCGTGCATACATACATACATAAACATAAACGGATACAAACAACCACATTAAAAAAAAAAAAAAAAAAAAGAAAGAAGACAACCAAGAAAGGAACAAAGGAAAGAACACAAAGAAAAGCCATACAGGAAGAAAGCCAACAAAGGGACAGAACAGACCGAAAGACATTACAAACAAAAAACAGGAAAGAACAGGAAAGACAGGAATAAAAGGAAAGAACAGGAAAGGAAAGGAGGGACAGAAAAGGACATAAAAGGACGAAAGGACAAAACACAGACATGAACAAGACACCATACCAGACAGACCAGGACATGACAGGCATCAGACATAACATCATAATTACAGACATGACATAGAGATACATTACATTACATTACATTACATTACATTACATTACATTACATTACATTACATTACATTACATTACATTCATACATACATACATACATACATACTTACATACATATATATATATATGTATTATATACATACATACATACATACATACATACATACTGCATATAAATATATATACATATAATTATATATATATCGAATGGCTAAATGTATCAAACCTTTCCAGCCGCATGGGGATCATCATGCCAATGGCTCAAATCGGCCTGTTCGTTCGTTCGTTCGAATCGAGTGGGAAAATTGGAACATCCAGCAAATGGGGAGTACCATAGGAAAACCATGGGAAAATGGAGGTTTACCCACTATTTTTATGGTGATTTAATGGTTAACAATGGTGAATAATGGGATGATAATGGGATGATAATGGGATGATAATGGGATGAAAATGGGATACTACCCTCTGGTAATGACTAAGAGTTTAGCTATGGAAAATGGCCCAGTCGAAATAGTTGATTTGCCCATACAAAATGGTGGATCTTTCCATAGTTTTTTGTATGTTTACCAGAGGGTAGTTTTAAAAAAAAAGCTTGTGTAATGATGGGAATATTTGATGGGGATTTTTTAATGTGTTAATGGGATTAGAATGGGATGAGATTGTTATTTTTTGAATACCTACTACCTGCATAATACACTAATCACACCTGTCCCCATCATGTCAACCCCGGATGAATAACCAGCCAGAGCCGTCTGAGCTGTTTAATTGGGTAGTACCATTTGAAGAGCAAATGAAGAAATTTGGGAAATGCCCGCTATTTTAATCAACCAGGATCTATTTATTCAGGGGGGACATTGAGATGTTTGATGCCCAGGTCAGCTGAAGCTCTACTCTAGCATCTTTGTCTCTGCAGGGGGTTTCACTATTCAAAAATAGCGTTCTTAGGTAAAAATTAATTCCCCAAAGATTATGACTGGTTGGTGGTTTTTTCCAACCCCTCTGAAAAATGATGGAGTTCGTCAGTTGGGATGATGACATTCCCAATATAATATGGAAAGTCATAATCCATTCATGTTCCAAACCACCAGTATATCTCATTAACCATTATGAACCATTATTAGCCAGTATTAACCACCATAAAATGGCTGTTCCAGTCACCACCAACAGGCGTTGTTTCTGGTTGTGCTGAATTCAGTAGCCCTGTCCGTTGTGGTGTTCCCCACAGATTCATCCAGGATTCTCCAGTGGATCCCACCAGGCTAGGAAAAAAATCACATCCCACTAGATACCCTTTGGTAAACTGCCACATAGCTATGGAAAATCACCATTTTTAATGGGAAAATCAACTATTAATGATGGTTAATGATGGTTAATAATGGTTAATATTAGTTAATAATATGGTTAATAATCGTTAATAATGATGGTTAATGATAGATCATAGTTTTCAAAATATGGTTAAACCAGATGGTGAAAATATCTACATATCCTATCTATTCCCACTATGTCCCAATCTTATCCGTTTTTTTGATGGTGACGATATCACCTGATCTTTTTTGTTAAACGTCACAAAGGGCAAATCCGAGAAGCGAAGAGATCCAGCAGACTGATCAAAGGATTGATGATGAATTGGTCCACCTGAGCTGACCATGTCTGACTATCCCAAAATTGATATGGTGGTTTCATGGTGAAACCAGCAAAATGGTTGTGTTTTATAATTTTATTAATTGTGAAATATTTTATTTTACAATCACATCCAGGATTATTATATAATGGGATTGTCACTCATATGAGTGGTTTTTGTAGTTGAGATCAGTTGAGATATAATGGTTCACTAGTTATAAGTTGAGATATAATAATGAGGCATAGAGTTGAGGTATAATACCCATTGAGATGATGTTTATAGTGAAAAATCGCGGTTTTTATTATGCTTTGATAGTTGAGATATAGTCCAATAGTGGTGTTTCATGCTGGTTTTCAACTGTGGTGGTAAAAAATGTGGTGTTTGATCCTGATCGTGAATGAGTGGTTAATGGTCTAATAATATGATGCTGATTGTTCATATATTAGTCTGGTTGGTGGTTTCAACCCACCCCTCTGAAAAATATATAAAAATATGAGTTCGTCAGTTGGGATTATGACATTCCCAATATATGGAAAAAATTGTTCAAACCACCAACCAGTGATGTGATGATTGGTTTAATCGGCTTCCCTTTGGGCCTTTTTCATCAGGATCATCACTGGAGGGGCACCACCTTTTTTTGTAAATCTGTGTAAGATTATGACTGCTTGGTGGTTGACCTACCAACCCCTCTGAAAAATGATGGACTGAGTTCGTCAGGTGGGGTGATGAAATTCCCAACTTGATGGGAAAAATAGTCCAAATGTTCCAAACCACCAACCAGTTCATATTAGTGATGATCGGGTTAAAAGTTGCTAATTTAATGGTGATTGGCAATAGTGAATGATGAAACTGATTATGACATACGACTGATAATGATGAGTAGTGGCTTATAAATATGGTTGAACATGTACTATGATTGGACTGGTCTACTCCTAACAAGGGCATATAACTTAGACTTGCAATCATTTACATACATCTACATACGAAGTACCCTCTGGTAATTTAACATAACTATGGAACAGCACCATTTATAGTGAGTTTTCCCATGAAAAATTGTGATTTTCCATAGTTATGTTAGTTTACCAGAGGGTACGATTTGAACGAAGTTCAATACGAAAGACTCCGAGTTGTCTCCCTCCGTTGAACTCGGGGAGATGTTTGGGAGCTGTGGGTTGCAATCCAAACATCTGTAGTGAAAAACGATGATTTTCATTACCCGGCCTGGTAAACCATAGGAACCATAGGTCAACCATAGGAAAATGGAGGTTTACCCTCTGGTAAACTTACATAGCTGTAGAAAATCACCATTTTTAGTGGGTAAATCAACTATTTATATGGTCATTTTCAATAGCTATGTTAGTCAAAATAGCTATTGAAAATGGCCATGGAAATAGTGGATTTGCCCAGCTACAAAATGGTGGATCTTTCCATAGTTTTTTGTATGTTTACCAGAGGCTATGTTATACCACAGGTGGTCAGTCCTTTGGGATGATTGGCATTGGCCGTACCATGTATATATATATATATCCATCCACCCCATGATCCAAAAACATGTCACATTCAATCATGAACATATGAACATAAATTCAATTAACAACTAATCAATGTTATAGCTGGGCAATAGTAAAACATCCCCAATTTCATCATAAATGGTGTGTGTAAACCATCAATAAATAGTTGGTATATCCATCTGTTTTCCGTATGAATTCCGATAATTCACACGCCTCAAAGAAAAATTGGCCAGTGAAGTCACTTTCGGATTTTCGTCTACGCCGTGCAGGGAGCCATGCGCAATCCAAACTTGCTCATGTGGTAAACCCAATGCCATAAAGCTACCATTTCAGGATGGCTTGTACCTCCCATTTACAGTGATTTTGGGGATGGTTTATTATGGTTTATTGACCCACGTTATCGAAAATCCTCAGGTTTAACAAAAAATAATAATCATCTCATTTTGATGGTTCAATCACCGGTTTTGATGGCGAAAACATGGCACAACATAATCCAAAATTGGCTACTATCACGGTATTTTCGAATATAAAATGGGAATGAGAGCAGAGGGAAAATCACCGTATCTATGGTATTTTCAAACATGATCAATAGATGTTTTTGGCTATGGTATAAACTATATATAACTATATAACATCAACCACTCTTCACCATGAAATCATGATGAATTATATAAGTCCTCGTGGTTTTTCACAAGGTCAAACACCCATAAAAATCCCAGTAAATCCCATAAAACATCCATAAAAACTGCTTGGTGCTTGAGCCCTACCCCTCTGAAATATGATGGAGTTCGTCAGTTGGGATGATGACATTCCCAATATTAATGGAAAGTCATAATCCATTCACGTTCCAAACCATCAACCAGTATATCTCATTAACCATTATTAACCACCATAAAATGGCTGTTCCAGTCACCACCAACCAGAAAAATATTCAACATGGCCCGGTGATATTTATGAGTTTTATGGTTACATTCGCCTGGACCAAGGCACCAAGTTGATGAGGTCAACGCTAATGGAATTCAGGACGCCACTCACGGTGTCATCGAAGTACTGGAAGCCCTACGCCAGGTTCGGCGACTTTTGCCCCAGGTTACCGAAGAAATGCCGAAGAAAAACAGAGAAAAACCAAGACAAAGTGGGATTTAGATGGATTTAGATGGATCTACACTTAATATAGCTGACTTTAAACTTATCTCAGTTGGTGAACATAACTCAGATAACTTATGACTTTACGATACATACATCATCATACATCCATAGTTGATGAGGGTTGTAAACCAACTCCATCTTCTATGAATATTCAAGTTTCTATGAAAATGGGCTATACCCCAATTTTATCCAAAATTGCAGTGCTTAAAGCTTTTTCTTGTCCATTAAAAATTGTGGGGTGGCCCAATTTCAGACAGACCCCCTCTGTGGTGTTTTAAGAGGCAAACGAGGATTGTAGGATAGATCGGCTGGTTTACAAATTGGATGACTAGGATTTATTGTGGATGGGTTATGGGGGATGCCTCAAAATGGCGACCCCAAGTTATTCAAGTGTGACTTTTACAGGGAAGCCAACCGATGTTGAGAAACACAAAATTTCAAACATACCCCTAATTCGATTAGATATGATTAGATCATTTTTCCCCACTAAACCAAGGTGACCATTTTGTTGGGGGTAACTATAAGGTGGGCCCCGGGGGTGCCCATTTTGGTGGGCCCCGGGGCCCCGGGCGATTCCGCGAAACCCGAAGCACGCCTTGGTCAAATCCAAACCGATGTTCTTCAAGTTGTCTTCAAACCTCGCCGCGAAAGTCACCGACTGGCGACTGTGGGGAAGGGATACATCAGGAAATAAACCATGGCAATGACATCACACACACATATATATATATATATACAATTATATACATGTTATATATATAGTTTATCTGTATAACATGATATGGAATGATATCTAATACTTAATATGCCTAATTAAGTATAATATAAGATTATTGTGCTATGCGTAAATTCTATGTGCATGTATGATACAGGTGAAAAGGGCTAGAAAATGAAAGTGCAAATGAGTTTGCTCCATTCCATCCCCTACAAAACATGATTCAACAACTGGTGGGGACAATGAGATTGAATTCCCCCATTCTCCGTCCGGCACTACAACCATATCAACCCTGGCTGGAACTTCCTGACTTACATTTCTTAGAAAGTATCCTGGCCAGAAATTTAGATCCACCATCTAGATGATTTTCCCATTAAAACCTTTATTTGTAGGCATGTCCCTTCATGTTTGATTACCGGAGGATAGTGAGTTTTCCGACCAGCCCTGTTTCTAACTGGTGAAGCCACAACCAGCCCCGGCGCGCCAATGAAAAAACTGCTTGGTGGTTTAACCCGTTTTACCCAAAAATGTGCTCGTCATCTCAACCAATCATCCCAAGCGTGAATAACACCACCAACCAGATATCTCATGAATTCCACCAAACTACAAACACCCCTCTGAGATATCGACCAACATGATCAAATCATACTTTAAAAATCCTGCAAAAAATCCCAGGCGAAGAGCCATCATGAAAAAAGGACCCCTGGCCCTATTCAAAGGGATGCTATTCAGCTTTGCAAAGGTCAGAGGCAATTTGGCTACGAACAAGCAACAAAATGCATTGAGGTAGCCCAAAATGGAAAATATTGGTCATATTTTAATTTAAAATAAAAAATGTAAAAATAAAAATGAAAAAATAAAACAAATAGTTGTTCATATGTTTTTTGGGCCGATTTTTTGCTTCCAATACTACTTTTAGAAGGGGGCAGGGCACCCTTCTGCTCAACGACCTCGTCCCACACCTCACAACGCGGAAAAAATATGTTTTCATAGAAAAAAATGTTTTTCCATATTTTTTTGGGGGCCCAATTCCATCAATTTTCAAATATCATAAAACAAGATAAAATCAAAATAATTTTGCAAAAAGACTCTGATTAGCACCCCTTCGAATAGAGCCCCAGCAAGCTGGGTCAAGGTGAGGCCGTTCACCCCAAAGCTGGCTGAGTCGGCAATGGGGATCACGATGATCACGAGGGACGGCAAATGAAGATCAACGTTCATGGAGGTTTTAATGGGGAAACCATAGGAAAACCATAGGAAAACCATAGGAAAACCATAGGAAAACCATAGGAAAACCATAGGAACATGGTGGTTAGTAATGGTTAATAGTGGTTAATGATGGTTAATCATTGATTAATTATATCTGGTTGGTGGTAGAGCCCTACCCCTCCGAAAAATATGAGTTCGTCAGTTGGGATGATGAAATGATATGGCTTGTGGCTTGACAAAAAAGATAAGAACTGCTACGACATCCAAATGGAAAGACTATTTCGAACTACTATCACGATGATGGAACTACCAGTTTAACATACCCTCTGGTAAACTAACATAGCTATGGAAAATCACCATTTTTAATGGGAAAATCCACTATAAATGGCCATTTTCAATAGCTATTTTGACATAACCAGAGGATACCAGAGGGTATATTTTTCCTTCTTATATGGCTTGACCCAGAAACAGGATGAAACAGGTAGCTCGCGGATGAGCCCAGGTCGGTGACCCCCCAACAATAGTCGCCTTTTGACAAAGGCGTGCTCTCTGGTAGTTTCATAGGGCTATGGACATTGACCCAATCATTTATAGATGATTAATCTATTCAGCATGGTGATGTTCCATAGCTATGTGACATTACCAAAGGGTAGCTGAATCCCTATGAGTATGGTTCACCAAAAGTTTCATGGTCAGGCATGTTTGTTATTTGCAGTTTACCACACTGCCCCCCGAAGGCAACCTCCAAAAATGTTTGGGGTTATGTTGTTGGCCTAGTGGTTGGTGTTAATTAGTGAAAAACAACTTAATGAAGGAATTTGTTAAAATTGATGCCACAACTTTTTTGATGCTGAAAAGCCCCCCCCCAGACCTGCCCGCCCAAAAGCCCCCCATGGCATGTCTTTCATGCAAATTCCATGTCATGTCATACATGGACATGATGCCACAGTCATGGCAAGACATCCCGTGTTCAGACATGACATGTCATACATGGACATGCCATGGTCATGGCACGTCATGCCATGTTCCCATCTCATGTGACCATGACATGACAAGCTCCACATGAAGCAGGTCATGCTCCCAACTCATGTTCAACCGTTCATTTCTTGAAGATTGGTTTCAAAACTCCTGTCGGTTTCGAAGAGCTGGCCACCTCTCTCTCCTTGCGGTGAAAATGTGAAACGGTGGAATCTACAATGGCATGGAACATTGCCACATGTTTGGGTTCTTCTCCCTTCAACAGCTCTTTTTGGACAGCTTCCCTCACATCTTGGAGCGATAAAGCTTTGGGGTCCGATTCCTCCATCAAGGTTTTTACAAATTTCTTCGCTTCTTTCTTGAAGTCTCGCTGATCAGGGGACTCATCTTTCTTCTTTGGCATTCCTGCGGGGGCCGGACAGTGGGCTAGTGTTAATGTTGCATGAATTTGGGACACCCATGGCAGGCATGCAAGTCCATGGTGGTAAACGAAACCATGACTCAAACATGACACACATGGGAAACATGGCCAACAAACATGAATACCCACGGTCCCTAACATGGCAAGCATGGCAAAACTCCATGGATGACAAGCATGAAACTCCATGTGTGGCAAGCATGGGCTGGCCAATTGGGCTGAACCAATTGGCCAGCATCATCCCGTCGTCCGCATGAGCCTGTGAGCACGGTACAAGGCTCCCCGCTGGGTGCTGGACATTTTCAATCCAGTCAGGTCTATCCAGCAGACTTTATCCAGGATGGAGAATGGAATTTGGTTCTCCGAGTCCAAGGTGAACCCCCAAAGGTGATTCCGTCAAGGGGACCACGCCAAAGCGGTGGGACATGGTGTTCAATGCCTCCATGACAGCCGGAAGCTCCTTCAGCTTTCTGCCCATGTTGGTGTAGCGCTGGCAAGTGCTGAGGTTTTTAAAGGACCAGATGTCAGAATGCATCCTCCCAAAACCATGACAGTTGGTATGTCAACATGAGAGCATGTCAGCATGATGACAAGCATGTCAACATGGAGTCATGGCCATGTTAAGTCGACATGGAGTCATGGCCACATAGCATCATGTCAACATGGAGTCATGGCCACATGGCACCATGTCAACATGGAGTCATGGCCGCGTTATGTCGACATGGAGTCATGGCCACATGGCATCATGTCAACATGGAGTCATGGCCATGTTAAGTCGACATGGAGTCACGTCCACATAGCATCATGTCAACATGGAGTCTTGGCCACATGGCACCATGTCAACATGGAGTCATGGCCACGTTATGGCCACATGGCATCATGTCAACATGGAATCATCACAACAACTGGTTGCATGGCAACACGGAAACATGGCAACCTGATCAACCATGTTATGGCATGCAATCAGTGACAAATCCATGTCAATCATGTCATGACATGTGAATGGGAAGGCCAGGGTGCCATCCCCGCATGTAGCTCCCTTTGCTCAACAAGGCCTCGATCGCCTTGTCCTCCGACAGGACCATTTCGGTCATTGCGCCGTCCACCATCTTCGCTAGGACAAGGCGCTTGTCGGCCGCCCCGAGTCCAATGACTTGCCGGTCCCGTTCTTCGTCTTCGACCAGACCTACTAGTAGGTTAGGTAACTCGGAGCTAAGGTGGGAAATTAACATGAACTCCCTGATGCCAATAAGTGTTGGAAAACTAATTCAACCGTGGTGCCGAACTTTGCCAAGTCGAACTGCGAGCCCACGCCGTAGCTGTAGAATTCCAACACGATGTCGGCAAGCTCTCTCTTCAACCAGTGGCAAATGTCACTGGCGTTCCTGAACCAAAAGGCTATCAGAAGCGCAGCTGCCAACTCGGAATCGCCGTTGAGCCGCTGCAGGTCTTTGATCTTGTTAGTGTCTGAAGTCCACAGATCCGAATTCACCTTCACGGTGAGAATGATTTCCCCTTTTCCCTGAAACACCGTCCCACTTCATCAAGACAGTCTCGATCCTGCGAGTCTGCCATACGCCCACTGCCCTTTCCTTAACAAGTTATGTCCATGGTAGGGAGCCTATGATAAAGTCAACATGTGGTACCACAAACCCATATGCGGGGCATGTTGCAAGTCATGGGCATGTTGGACATGTCATGGTCAAACTCCCATGTGAAACATGATGGCATGTCATCAGCATGTTGGACATGTCATGGTCAAATCCTATTGAAACATGAGAAAATTCATGAGCATATTGAACATGTCATTGGCAAACTCCCATGTGACACACTTGCAAGGCATGAGCTGGCTAAACTGTTGGTGAATCTCACAAGTGACATGTTGTGGGACATGCTCGGATTTTTCATTTTCAAGCTGACTTCCAGCATGCTGACTGAATAGCTCGTGCGGAACAAGTTTTGACCAGTGTCCCCCAGGGCCAGCATTGCGCAAGACCCCCCAGTCTGAACTCGCCTTCTTCGAGAGCGAGTACTTTGAGTTCATCCACTGGTCGGATTGGGCACTTTGACACCTTCCCTCATCTGAAGCTGTCCATGCCTAAAGCAAAACAGGGCCATGTCATGACGTCATGAGCGAACCGATCTGTTCTATCACCATGAAATCACATGCATGTCTCATCTTCAAAGACCACCCCATGACAAACATGACATTCATGCATGGCTCCAAGATAAATAGGAATATCAGGGTGCGAGGACTTTCCCCATGTAGGAGTCAAATCCCTCACTCATGGCTTCCACCAGAAGTGCTTTCAAGTCCACATCGGTCTTCGTGGATTTCGCCATCTTCCCAAAAGCTCTGGTTAGGCTAAATTCTATCTATTAGGTTATATCTTGTTTTCTGACTATTAGTTAAATTGTGTTTTTACCGATTAGGTAAAACAACTGTTTTACCTAATAGTCAGAATGATCGAATAACATTTTTTCTTTAGGTTATTTATATGAATAAACTTTTTTCTTATAGGTTATTTATATGAATAACCTGTATTGGTACCTTTTTTGGAGAAACTTCGTTTTCTTTATATACAAAAAAATATTTTGTAATCTCCAATTACACATTTTTTGGTTTGATACATTTTTCCGATAAAATGATGCTGAAAAAAACTAAATACAAAAGAAAACCAGAAAACATATATTTTGGATTGGACAAACCGACACAGGATAGAAACAAAAAACACATGTCAAAAAAGTAATATATTGTATATACATGGATATGTCTCAAAACGAGGTGTCTTTTTTTGGTTCCTAAAAGGGTTCTTTGATAGAAACAAAGGACACCTCATTTTGAGACAACCTCCCCCACACACACACATATATATATATATACACATAATTATAGATATAAATACAAAACATTACACACACACATATATATATATACACATATATATATATACATAGATATATATAAATAAGTTTGAATAAATAAATAAAGAAAAAATAACTATATATAAATAAATTTTAAAAAAAACATGGTTTGCAAAAATCAGCGATTTTTTTTCGGGGCGCGAAACCACCACAGGACAAAACCAAAAAAAATATAAAACATAAAAATAAAATTAATGTTCAGTTCAAGAAAAAACAATTAAACCAAAAACTCACATAGCCAACAACCCAAAATAAGAAATTCAAAAACTGTGAAACATATGGTTCAACAAGTAATTTGCCAGCTGCATTGTGTTTCGAAAAACACGAATTCATGTGAATTCATGGGTGCTCATGCGCGCTCAAGTGGTCATGGGTGTCCATGGATGTTCATGGTTGTTCATGCGTGTGTATGGGTGTTCATGTATTTTTGTTTGTTTGTCATTTTGTTTTGCTGCCATCCACTTTCTTTGAACTTAAAAAAATGAACGTGAGATGGAGGTCCCAGCCCTGGGCCGATTTCTTTGTTGAATTATCGGCAATCCAAGGGTTTGAAGGGGCCTTTTTTGAAATCAGTTCAGGCAGCAGTAGTTTTATAAAGACAAACTGTCAAGACTGGATGGCCTTTCATGGTTGTATGCAATTTTTTTTGCAAAAAATAAACGGCCAATCCAGCCCAGACTTGATCAATCACTAAAGGGCCTCCAGCCCTCGATATCAGAAAATCAAACACAATTAGCAATAACCTGGGGCTCTCCATCCTTGACATTTATGCCAAAAAAAAATCTGACTATATAAAGACAAACAATGACTTGGTGTTCAGCATTCACATTTTCTATGCAGTTAAACCTGGAATTTGCCAGTAAATTTTTGGTTTTGCAGTTTTCAGATTCATGTTTACAAAAAGAAGGAAAAAGGTTGTCAATCCCAGAGCCCATCCATTACTACGTTACTACGTTTTTATTTCGTCAAACCTATTTGAAAGAAGATGCAATCCAACCCAGGGTTAATCAATCACTTGGGCCTTCCCATGCAAATCCATTTCCTAAAAGTTAATCCAAATGTTTTGCAATGACTTGAGGCCCTCCAATCATCAAATTCATTTACATGTGCATGGGAAAATCTCTCCGAGAAAGTGTTTGGTTGAAGATTTTTTGATCTGGAAAACATGGCTGGTCAAACATTTTTTTGAAAAAAATGCATGTTTTTTTTATAAAAAAAATCTTTTTGAATAAAATTCAGTCTTTTTCTGAATAAATATGATTGTTTTTAACTAAAAACAAAGATTTGAGTAAAACCAAGATTGTTTTGTGAATAAATCCAAGGTTTTTTGAAGATTTTCAAGGAAATGAGGTGTAAGTTTGATGTAAGTTTGCATGAAAACTTTTGAGGTGTAAGTTTACATCAAACTTACACTATGTAAGTTTACACCAAACTTACATATGGATATGGGTCAAAATTGAGGACCTCAGAGACCACAGGTTTAAGTCTATTTTCAGTATTAACCATCGAATAACTGGGATACTCAATTTTGACCCATACCCATATCAAAAGTGTAAGTTTACATCAAACTTACACTGAGAAGTGTAAATTTGCACTTGTATGTGTAAGTTTGATGTAAACTTACACTTTTGATATGTAAGTTTGGTGTAAACTTACACTCTTGATGTGTAAGTTTAGTGTAAGTTTGATGTAAACTTGCACCTCAAAAGTTTTCATGCAAACTTACATCAAACTTACACCTCATTTCCTTGAAAATCTTAAAAACACCTTGGATTTATTCACAAAATGATTTTATTCAAGAGAAATCTGGGTTTTTAGTCAATCAAATGATGTTTATTCAGCAAAAATCTTGATTTTATTTTAAAAAACTTGTTTTTTTTAATGTTTTTTGTCAAAAAAATGGTTGGTCAATCACTTTTTTCCATCAACAAATCTTCAACCATACACTTTCTGGGAGAGATTTTCCCATGCACATGTGAATGAATCTGATGACTGGGGGGCCCCAAGTCATTGCAAAACATTTAGATTAATTTTCAGGAAATGGATTTGCATGGGAAGGC